AGCAGAGACAGGACCAATTGTCAAAATTTTGGTGCCGATCATTCGAATGCATCCTGGACACTACAGAAAATGGGCTAAAAGTGTTAAAAACCGGAATTTTCCTTTAAAAATCGACGGGAAAAAGCATCGACCGGATCTAACCAGTAAAGATCCGGAGACATTTTTAATTATAATATGTTACTTTAAACATATTTTAACACTGAAATAAAATGAGGTTTTAATGAATCCACGTTATACATTAATCTGAAGTTTTTTTTTAAGTAGAGCACAACAATCATTTAGTTTGGTATACAGACAATTTCCTGATTCACACATTCTATAAAACACCTGAACTGACCGGTTTTTTTTCTTCTTTCTTTTTTTTTGGCTTAATGAAAGCAGTGGGCTTTAGGCTGCCCTGATGGCTTTAAACCTGGGTTTGAATGGAGACTAAGCCATTCTAAATATCAAGGTGTTCATTTTGAGCCTGGATCCATATTTATTTTTGATTCTGTTCATGGTGGAGAATCCTGCTTCACAGCAGCAGGTTGAGCCAAACATACTCAACATGTACAGGTGTTGCGCCCTCTGCTCCGATAACTTGGTAGAGGTACGTGGTTTCTTTTGGGTTAAAATGAATAATGGAGATGCTGCCGACGTCTTTCCTCACTTTCACTTTATTCAAAAAGACACCACACAGTTCTCTGCTGGTCAGAAGCAATCGATCTAAAAAAAAACCTCGAGAAAGGGTTTTTTGAGAAATTGTAAATAGTGTACATAGTATTAATACTCTTAGTACTGTATTACCCCTACCTTTAAATAATCATAACAAAATGATAATTATGTAATATGAATTATTTTTAACTCTCGTTTTTAACTGAAATATCAGTCTTTTAAACCTGTGTATTTTAATTTGTGTATGGATAACTTTTAAAATATTTTAATAATTTTAACCTGTCACACAGGGCCACTTTGAGCACGCCATTTCACTGGTCTTTAACCAGTTTCCAGCAGTCCACACTTTCTCTGCTTTCTTTTTCTCATCATCTTCTCCTTCTTTCCCATCACCCGGTTTGCCTGCTGTGTCTAAAATAGCAGCAACAGCAACCCAGACTGACAGCAGCTCATTGCATCACGTGCAGCCTGGTGACGGATGCTCTGGAGGGCTTTACCGTATTAACAGGAGAAGCAGTGCAAGTTAAGTTGGACACTGTCGTTGGAAAACATGCTGTTTATTTAATTTATAAATGTTTTAAATCAGATTGGGTCCGGATAAGCCAGAAGGGGGTCTGGATTCGTAGCGCGGTCTGCTATCCGTGACTTCTGGTCTACAGGCTTTGTACATTGAGCAATGCTTTAAACAAAAACTACATTAAAGGAAAGTGGGTAAGGTTTTATAGAATCAACACTTTTGCTGTGCTTCTGAAGTCAGAACATGGTTCAAGGAGGGATTCACATCCAGCTTATGTTAAAAGATGATCCATTTACCTTGTTGTTGGTGTTGAAAGTCCAACGGCTTTGAGCTCTAACACCCGAGTGCTAGGGTCCAGAAGTCGGCTGGTGTTCCTGATGTAGTCTGTGTCCTCTAACTCAAAAAGAACCTCTGGGAGCAGGCTCTGACCAGACACAGTAACACAAGGAACCTGATCGCTCCTCTGCATGTTTGGAATGCTGAAAACAAGAGACGTCCATAAAAAATGGGAACAAATCCTTTTCTATTACAAGGAGAAGTAAATTAGAGTATTGATCAAAAGGTGTGGGGGAAGTTTTTCACATGCTGACCCATGAAAAATGCAGAGCATCAGATGCCTTTAATTACCTGCAGATTAATCTGCCCTGAAACTCAGCTACTTCCACAGGTGAAAAACAAACGTTGAAGTTCTGAGTAACTCCAGGATTTATGGATCCGCTTCTAGGCTCCACGCTGAAGGGAGGAAGGCCTGGGTTTCCAATCCGGGGTGACGTCACACTGCTCCCAGCACTGGGCAGCAAGCTGCTGCAACGGCCGTCTCTCCTCCTCTCCTCTGTCACCAATGACATAAACTTTGGTTCATGCTGAATCATTTTTAAAGCAATAAAATATCAGATGATATAATCTAACTCGGAATTACAGATAACAAATAAATCATCAGTTTAATTAAATTCATTACTTGATAAAATCTTGATCAAAGCTCATTTTACCTCCTATAGGATCTGCTATCTTGTTGTGCGCATCCATTTGGACTTGCCAGGAGAAATCCACTTGTACAGAGCCCACATTGATAATCTGCAGTCTTTGCACACAGAGAAAAAAGGAAGCATATGTTTGACAGTGGCGGTTCTAGACCAAATGTACCAGGGGGCCAGGAGGGGGCCAGGGTGTTTTCATGGGGCCACAGAAAAGCATGAAATAAAAACAGGGCAAGGGATTCAAATATATTAATGCATGAAGTGAAATTTCTATTCAATTAGGTTTAATTAAAATTCTATGTCTTATTAGGTCAATATACATTCATAATTTAAGGATTTTACATATTTTTGATTTAGTGTAAATTAAAATGACAATTTTTTTTATAAAATCTGAATTAGGACTTGAGAAAAACTGATAAATTCAGATGTAAAAATGTGGGTATTTTTTTTTATTTGTTTTGAAAAAAACATTTAACAGATGAAAACTGGGATTCTATCTCAATACCATCAACATATTCTCATTATCAGTGGGAAAAACAGTGCAATAATCACTTATACATGTCTCTAACTACGTTGCTTGCTGTTTTATATCTTAAGGTTAGGGTCAGGGTTAGGGCTAATTGTTTTTTAAATTCTATGTTCTTGAATGGTGCGTCAGATGCGCATACGACGAAAAAAACGTCCAAAACGTACGAAATTACGGTGCATAACTTTTCGAACGATTTCATACAAACTCATAATGAGAATACACTGCCAGGTTTAAGCCAGAATGATTTGACATTTAAATAGGATTTC